CACAGCTTTGAAGCTGAGCTTCACTGCTCAGTACTTCTCGAAGTGCGAAAAATGAGCGTATGACTGTGCTCGTGAAAGAGTTGGATTATCCAACTATCGCGGTATTATACCGCGTACAGCAACGCGCAGGCCTGCGTACCGCTTTGGTACTACCAATGAGTGGTGAAAAGCAGAACCAGCGCACGACGTGAACGTAATGGATGATAAGAAAAGACAAAGTATTGGTTAATACATGCGTGCTGTAGTGGAAATGACCTGAGCGTCTCGTAACATTCGAAACGCATACACAGTGCGTGAGCATTGGAGCCACTGTGTCGACCTCACTGCGTGTGTGAAACATATACTGATTATCAATCAGTTTTTGTCCTGCAGATTGCCGCTAATGACATCTTTGGTGTAGTTTCCAAGTTTCCCAGAAGAATCTTGAAATTGATACGTAACCAAATAGTCCCAACCACCATCCCTATGTTTTATGATAAGCTGTTGTCCGGTGAAGAATGAAGGATTGGGTACATTGGAGGAGGGCTTCTGACTGGCTATTAGACTCAACCCTTCGCAATCAGATGTACCGTCTAGACCATGCCACGAAGTCCACGTTCTCACGTTAGCAGCAGGGATAGAACCAAAGTCGATAGTAGCAATATGGATGAGCTGTCCAAGGCCATAGGCATCCTTCCTTGGGGCTGGGTTCCACCAAAAGTCTCGGGTTTCATCACCGACACTCAAGTGAGCCCAACCATACGTCTCCACCAGCGTACTGCATTCGATGCCAGGCTTCTTGGACACAGTGACGTTAACATGCATGCTGCCATAATGCCCAGGCCGATTGGTGTTTAGAATGATCCCGGCAGCCTCTTTAACAACTCCTTCATATGTGACGCCCTTCATGTTGTAAATGCAGGACGGCTTTAACAGATCGGTGATGTCGCTTCCCTCCCCTGGGCCAGGCCCACCATGACAACCCGCTGGGTAGTCAGCAACGACCCGGAAAGAGGAATCAGAGTGTCCCAGGACTTGCGTCACAATGGCAAACGAGA